ACTTTTCTGCTTCAACACAAAAAGACACGAGTTGAAAAGATTTGCATGTACTGTAAGTAAAAAAAACAACCGAATGTAAATTAGCTGCTGCCCACGTTGAGCACTTCACATCAGTCACTGATGCAGACAGGAGACCCTCCTGATTGTGTGTGTGTTTCCTCACCAGCTGTAGAGCATCAATGCTGCTTTTCTTTGCCTCTTTGGCCACTTTATCGGCCTCATCGATGTAGTTCTTGATGTTGGTGTAAGCATTGAAAGCAGCGGTGGCGTTGAAGGACAGGTTCTTTGCCTCAGCTAGAATGCTACAGAAATCAAAGTTCAGAATTCAGATCAGTGAGAGAAGACCAATGAAATCAACCCAGGCTCACTGGAAAAACGTGCCTGTGTGGTCACATTTCCACAAACTGATACTACATCGCTTCTGCACATTTCGTGATAGCTTTGAAATGAAATGTCCAGTGAGCGGCACTGAAAGCACATTCTATCCAAAAACTGATTAATGTAAATCTGGCAGTGTTTTATTACATTGGTTGTTGTACGTATAAATAAAGTAACACCTACACTAAACCCTACACTGACCCTAACCAACAGTTTTAACAAAAGCATGCAGAAGCAACCATACCATTTTATCTGGTTTCTGCAAGTGTTTGAGCTCTTTTATTGTGACCTGTGTTTCACAGGTACCTGAGTGCTTCACATCACAAGTGCAATGCTGTACCTGGTGCCCTACCGAGCAAGTTTACCATGCAAATTAAAAAGAAAAAAGTATTACATTTCACAACTCGTGCACTATGGTAAAAGTATTTTGATCTCACAACATAGTACTGTGCAAAAAAACATGCAGAAAAAGTCTACATTAATCAATAATCTGCCCCTTGTAATCATGATTTGTTCGAAAAGGAATAACAGTTGTTGGTGTTTTATTGCCTCTAGTGTTAATTTGAGCTGGAAACTGTACTAAACACTCACTTTTACACACACACACACACACACACACACACACACACAC